TATAAACAATATATGCAATATATGCAATATATACAATATATACAATATATACAAAATATATTTTTTTCTGGAGAAAAAAACATCTGTAAGCGTAGCCATCTTATTTACAAAATTTACGTAGTATCACTCACACTGGAATGACAGTCTAAGCCAAACTGTAAATTCCTTTATTTACTTTCAGGAATTTGTATTACCTGCTGCGTGTATGCTTTTAGCTTCTTCCTACACCTGCTTGTTCTTTCTGAGCTTGGGACATAGCCCTACCAAAGCAGTAGGAAAATGAGAGGCACCTGACACAGCCCCTACCCTTAGGCAGGGCTATTTTGAGGGAAAACAGATTTTATTTATGAGACTTTCTTTATTTATGAAGTAGATATGTGCAAAATAAGATCAGTTGGAGGAGATGGCTGGAGTAAAATGTGAGTGCCCTCTCTTAGCCACTCACTCAGCATTGCTGTGGGGCTTTCAAACAAGAGCTTGCATACTTCAGCCAAGATGGTTTGAGAGCTGCCTCAGAAATCAAAGGAACACTTCAGTTAAACACATGCAGGAGCTTCCTCTTGTATGAGGGCAATCAAGGTCTCACTGACTGCTTTGCCCAGGATGTTCTGGCAACATTAGAATTCCCTTCAATCAAGAGGAAAATGTGGCCATTAACATGCCATGTTTGCCTCACAGGACTTACCTTCACCAACAGGAAATCAGGTGAGCTGTTCACTTGGATGAATGAGTAAACCCCACTTAGACAGAGGTATAGGCAAGGAAATCCCGCAATAACATCCATGTGCACCATCAGTAATTAACAAATGCTGCAAACCATAACCAAAGAGGTGCTAACTAAGTCCCTGACTTTGGCTGTTTCTTGAAAGCTAAAGGACCTCACATGCATTCATATGACTGTATTGATTCTGATGGTATCAAAAGGATGCTACAAGAGAACAGTTTGGTTTGGTATCCACTATGTAAAAACACACTCTTACATGTCGTATGTTTAAACCTCTTTACAAAGTGATACTGAAAATTCCTTTTTCAGTTACAGAAATAGAGGTACAGGAGTGATTTGCCCAAACTCATATAGGCAGCTAGCAAAGGGCATGGGGTTATACCCACAGCTCCTGACTCAGAGCATAGCACCTCGCTGTATAAAACCTTTGTCCTCTTCTTTTGTGCACATGCCTGTAGTTAATGAAATTACCTGCTCTTCATTTGCCAACAACACGCTGAACTCCAGGAAGGAAAGCAGGAGGGATCAGCTTGTGTTTCAACTCTGAAATTTCAAAAGGTAAAATTTGTATACTGGGATTTGTGCATGTTTGAAATCTGTTATGCAAAGAGTATTAACTTTCATAAATTTTAATTCTAAAATTTTATACCACGTACTGTCTTTTTGGGATGTATTTGAATCTGTTTGATCTAAAAATATCCTTAATCTGTGAGGATAATACTGCGTGCCAGAAACGTAATGGTAAATAAACCTGTAGAAGTTATTTTCATGATACATTTTTCTTTGCTTTCAAAGACATTTGGAGCTTGAAATGTTTTTGACTTTGGCCCTAGAATGATGTTACATCAGTCCAGCTTGTGACGCCAGTTTCTAATTGACTGTGACAAAATTTTTTGCCACCAGTGGACCAAAACATGACTTGTAATGTTCCACTATTTTCTCCACTTTCTGTTCATTGGTTCCAAAACAATTAGAAAAAATTCATTGATCCTGTAAGAATGGTATTTTCATAATGGATGAGTAATCCTGCTAGGTTATACCGTATTAAACTAGATCATACTGTGTTAAAAACCAAATACATATGAAAAGAATTTAATCAAAAAATTCTTCTTCAATGAAAATTTTCCTCTCTTTCAACCAGATCTTTTAATGAGCTTTGTCTTTTCTTGAATTTATATTTCATGAAACATTATAGCCAGAAATTAGATCACCAGCTCTTCCAAATGAAACACAAGGGTTTACATTTTCAGAAAACTTGTATTTCATAGGATAATTAACCAGCATATAATAAAAATGTACACAACTTTCAGATGTTTAAGTGGGAGGCAACACCAAAAGGAAAGGATTTGTTTCTTCAGTTGGCTTTGAAAATTGGAATATATCTTTATGTTTCTTATTGTAACAGACAGTAAAGTAGATGAGGGTTTTTTTCTCAGCATAGAAATCTCTGACTAGTAATACTAACTAAAATATAACCAGCATGCCTCCTTTCACCCTAAAACATCACCACCACCACCACCAAAACCAAAAAAGGGAAAAAAATAATCAAAATCACATGACTGAAAGATTTTGTCTTATGTTGTATGAAATATGACAGAAAAGTCACGTGGTTTTGTAACACATAGGGGGATAAAATTCTATTAAACATTCAATAACTTCTCTTGGAGGACAGATCTTCAACTAGCTCTCTGGGCTCCCTATGTGCATGCTAGGTCCTCTGCCCATTTCCACATGGCTTCAATGACAGAGTTAAATTTAATGTCTCTTGTCTCCTTTCTTTGCAAGTTTTTCAAAGCTAATGCCTATCACTTCTCCTTTCTAGACTCCTCACAAGTTGCAACGTCTTGACTGTGCATGTAAATTAACCTGGCAATAACACTTTGCCAATGGTTACATTGAAATAACTACAAATGGATATAACCTCAGCCATTTAAGAAATTGTATCCCCGTCTCCTCCACCACTTCCATACTGGCAGCAGTCGCAGCACAGCACCTGGCTAGTGCTACATCTAGCAAGCTCAGGAGAAGACAATAAACCACTTGGTTCGCACATATTGCCCAAGTACCTCCCTTGTAATAAGATCTGGTCTGTGATCTGCCAGCTGGCTTATACTTTGTGTCTTTTAAAACTTAAAAAGATCAGGTCTTTTTCGGTACCTGGCCCTGCACAATTTGCATTACTGAAGATTTTAAAAACAGATCTTCTATAGCTGCAATTTCTAACCAATCATCAAGAAGTATGTACAGTGAGGTACAAACTAGCTTTCTGATAAAGTTAGACTCTAATAACTGAATGAATATAAATGCTGCCATTAAGCCTAGGAGACAGGCTTCTTCAGAAATGTGAACATATCTCAAGCTCAAACATAACTTATTTTGTAATTTATAAAAGTTTTATTTTCAGTTTTTTACTGCTTGTATTTTACTTGCTTTTCTTTCATCTCTGAGTTGTGATATGTGTATATGTGAAGCAGCTTAAAGCCACCAGATGAGGCTTTCTGAAGGGCATATTAAATTTTCCTGAGATCAGGTAGTAGACTCAGAAATGTTCTCTCTAAGATCAGCTCTGCAGTTCCAGAAAGGCTGTGTGAGTGTGTGAGCTTGAAAATATATAACACTGTAGGGAGGAAATCTGCATAAGAAACTGAGGAGTATTCTCTGAAAGAAAGTTCCATGCCCCAGTTACCCCATCATCAGCAGTATGAATTGCCAAAGCACGTCAGTGTGCTATATGGAGTCTGTACTTGCACTTCACACATTAGCAGAGGCACTGAAACTCACTTCTGCTTAAGTACCTGTGGTGTTTGTGGGACAAACCATAATCTACTTCTCACTTCGACTGTCTCT